ACCTCCTCCCCCCCCCCTCGCTGGGCGCAGTGCGGGTCTTGGCAGACCCATCACAGGGGCATACTCCCAACCCAATCCCCCTCCCCTCCCCTCTCCTCCCTTCCCCAGAGCCAAACACCTCCCCTCCCTGCTGTAACCCAATCCTCTTTCTCCCCCAACCTTACGTCCTGGTCCCAACAGACACCACTACTTGAAACGCAACCTCCACCTTTTCCATGATTTTCAGTGGAAAAATTGACCCTGCATAACACGTTTTCACTTAACATGATCGTTTTCTGAAACATATCTATAGTGTTAAATGAGGAATTACTATACAAACATTCAAATTAACTACAAGTCAGCTGAGCCCCTCTTAAAACAAAATAGTAGCGGGGGTCTCATTTTTATTTACCTTCTTATCTGTAATGCTTGCATGGGGAGAGGTGACATACCTACGCTGCCGGGCACCTCTCTCACATGGGAATGGGAGTGGCCGGCTGAACTGGCTCAACCCTGCTGGCCCAGTGCTCTCCAGGCCTAGCTGCATCTTCAGGATGGACCTGCCTCTCTTGGTACCTGGCACCATGTTGTTTTGAGGCAACGTGGGGGACATGCAGGGTCACAGGCCCCCTGATTTCTGTGAGGGTTCACACCAGAACATGGCCAGCAGCATCCTTTCGGCCCTCTATAGGAGGGAAGGAATGGGAGCTGCTTCTAGCCGTAGGGGTGTGGGGTTGGAGAGTAAGGATGATGTGGCTTATGTCTTTACAGAGATCATATCTTCACTTTCTCTTATGGCAACGTGGGGGACATGCAGGGTCACAGGCCCCCTGATTTCTGTGAGGGTTCACACCAGAACATGGCCAGCAGCATCCTTTCGGCCCTCTATAGGAGGGAAGGAATGGGAGCTGCTTCTAGCCGTAGGGGTGTGGGGTTGGAGAGTAAGGATGATGTGGCTTATGTCTTTACAGAGATCATATCTTCACTTTCTCTTATCCATTCTCTCCTCCCCCCCCCCACTTCCCCTTGGGTTAAAACAGATTTTGCCC